TTGTTGGACAAGTTCTCCCTCAGTGATTTTACCCACGCAAGTAACACAGAGGGCTGATGACTCCAAGATTAGTATCTCCAGCCCTTCTCAATTGCAACATATTTCAACTTCAACTTAATATTGGTTCCTTCAAATTTCCTGTGTAGAAACTCTACCAGCAAGTAACACAGAGGGCTGATGACTCCAAGATTAGTATCTCCAGCCCTTCTCAATTGTAACATATTTCAACTTCAACTTAATATTGGTTCCTTCAAATTTCCTGTGTAGAAACTCTACCACCCTTCCTCAAACCAGAAACCTCAATGGTATCCTCCCTGGGGATGGGAGAACGCATACTCATACCTTCCCAAAGTAAAACATTCTTTTGGGGAACTATGATGCTTTGACAATGATGGATAAACAAAACCCTCTTTTATTTCACTGGCAAAGAGCCTAAGTAAGATTTGTTTTTCTCACCACCAGCCTCCGGAGCTGTGTCTCTTGCTGCATGCTCCCTTTCTTCTTGTCCATTGTGACCTGTCCCTTGATTGCTTCAGATTTCCTGGGAGAGGTTAGACGGGGGCTAGTGCTGTCCCAGAGGTGGCAGAGACAGTTGTGCCTACTGCTCAGTGCTGGCTCAGACCACTGTGTCTGTATAATGGTTTGTGACTCTCCCTCAGCAAAACACCATTCTGGTGCTGAGGTGGCTAGCCCAGGTCTGTAGATTATACCTCAAAACTCCCTAAAGTCAGCTTCCTTCTCTTCATGCTTACTCGCATTGCCTTAATTCAGATTTTTATCCTTAGGGAGAGGAAGAAAACCACTTTGTTCTTTTGGAAGACAATGTTGATGGATGTGTTCATTACTGTCTAGCATCCTTTGAACCAGTCTCTCCCATTCAAGGCAGTTAATCTTCCTAAGTCTCATCTGATAAGAGATGATGACTTCATAGGATTGTTGTAAAAAAGTATATAAAATAATGCACGTGAAAGTGCTGAACAGGGTGCCTGACACACAGAGAACATCCAATAAATGTTAGCTTATCATCATCACCGTACTCTCTGAAGACCTGGTTTAAAGGATCAAAAGCTGCTTCTGATTTCTCTAAAGACTGTCAGTTGTTGACTTTCCTACAGTGTTTTGAATATTCTCTACTTGGACATTTATTTTATCTTCTACTTCTATCTTTACTAGACTGTGAGCTCCTCAAGGGTAATGACTGAATTCATTTTATGTCCACAACACCCGGCAATGTGTCTGGTGCACAGGAGGTGGTAAATAAATATCTGTTAAAAGAATGCAACTGGATGAATGATTTATACCCAAGTTTTTGCTCTTGTGTCTGGAATTCTCAAAATCAATTGATGTAATTTACTCTACTAACAAACTAAAAAAGAAAAATCGCATGATCTAAAATTATATGATTCAAAGGCTGAAGAACTGAAGAGTAAGATGACATAATGATATAGCTGGAAAATCCAAAACACTTTACAGATAAGATATCAAAGTGAATAATTGAGTATAGCAAGATTGATTCATACAAGTTCAATATACAAAAATCAATTATACTTCTATGTACTAATTACAAGCATTAGAAAATAAAATATCAATATCATTTAAATAACATGAAGTTTTTAAGCACCAAGATACAAATATAGCAAATTATGTGTAAGACCTCAACACAAAAAACTATAAAACTTTGCTGAAGCCATAAATAAACTGAGGAATGTTTATGGACAGAAAGATTCAGTTTTGTAACGATGTCAGTTCTCCCTCAAATTGATTGATAGATTCAATATAATCCCAATAAAAATCCCAATAGTGTATGTGTATGTGTATAAATTGCAAGTTGATCCTAAAATTGATATGGAAATGCAAGGGTCAAAAATGGTCAAGACAATCTTAAAGAAGGACAAAGTTGGAAGATTTGCACTAACAGATACTAAGACTTATTGCAA